AACATACAACATATATATATATATATATATATATATAATCTTCGGTACACCGCGTTTACAACGGCACGCTTCTTTCGTTCTGGGGAGGTGCATTTTTCCTCCACTGCGATATTTATCTTTTACCACCTTCTCACTCTGCACACCTTGTTTGTTCACTTTCTGGCTCCTTTGCCTTCTCGACTGGATGCGTTTCGGAGGTCATCGGCGACGCTGCGTTTAACTCCACTTACACATTCTCTGTTGTTTTGCTACTGCACTTTTTTTTCCTCCCAATAAACTACGCCTTTTCCAAGCTAAAGGAATAGCACCAGCATGCCTCGACTTGCATCGCTGCGTCTTTGTCGATCTGCGCCGTCCACCTCACCACCGAATAGGTGACCCCCCTCTTCCTCATATCATTCCTCTATTGCTCGAGAACGCTGCTAGTCAGGGGTGGTTTTCCGGTGCTTGGAGGGGGGCTTACCTCTCCTCTGCACGCCCTCTCCAGAAAGAAGAGAAGGGGAAGGTAGCGGAAAGCAAGCGGTGGGTGCGACCCATTGGGCCCGCCTTCGTCGCTTAGCGTGTATCAGCTGTCTGTGTGCGCGCCAGAGAAGCAGCTACTCCAAAAAGGCGCTGGGAGGCAGAGCACGGCAGTGGGGTGTTCGAGACGCAGCATCGCATCTACGCTCCCCTCACGGCACTGCCGTCGAATCCGTTGACACCGGACACGAAGAGAGCTTTGGGACAGGGAAGTAGAGCACAGCAGAGCTGACAGGGAACACAAGAACAACGAGAGGACTCGTCAGACGACTTGCCGGGCGATATTGCGCCGTACACGAACTACAGGCGCGCTCGATTGCCATCGCTTATCCCCCTATCGTTGTTGTTTTACTTTTCCTTTTGTACGTTGGTGTGTGTGTGTGTGTGTGTTCTCTCGCAATAGAAACATTTCGGGTACTCCCCATAACTGCGTCGATTCACTTTGCACGTCACATATGTTTGTTGTTTTTTTGAATACTATTAATATTATTATTTTCCGTATTTTATTCCAAGATCTCTCGCTTGTTTGCCGACCAATACCTTCGCACACCCACACGCACAGCACTTCGCCAGTCTTTGTGTCAGTGGTTTTAGCGGTGCTGCATGCACGGGCGATAGACGCGACTGATCTGTACGTCCATAGAGTCAAGGAAGAGGGAAAGCATTCAGCCGCTTCTCCCGTTTTATATTTGTCATTTCTGACTTGAGAGCAGAGATAGATTTTTTGCAGACGAAAAGATTTGTGTTCTTTCTTTTGCGAGAAGACGTACCCCTTTCATTACTATTATTCGTTTATTAAAAGCGACGCTGGTACGCATGGGTATTCTACAAATACTCTTGTGGAGCTATCACCACCTTCGTGGCGTTGCAGCCGTTTCCGCCTCCGCATCTCGCGCCGCGTCACATCTCTCTTCCCCGGTTCTCATCTCAACTCTGTCCACTGCGACAGCATGCTCTCCCTCTTCCTTGACTCTCGACGTTCGTGTGCCTGCCAGTAGGGCAGACGAGCGCACACGTCTCCTGCGCTGCCTCCCGCAACTTTCACCTGGTGGACACTGGAAGCGGAGGAAGAGAAGAAGGAGCGAGAGAGGAATCAGCGTTGACGAGATACGTAATGGAGATGTGGCGGGGTGTAGAAGATGCAGCGGTGCGGGTGTGTACTGGCTTCCATGCACGGCGGTGGCCCTGTCCCGCGCGTGCGAAGGAAAACTCGAAGCTTCACAAGCACCTGAGTCTACCACCCACGTTAGCGGAAGTATTCGTACGGTGCCTTTTCCGAAGCAGATACCGACCTCGCGCCTTCGCCTGTGCCACGAAGACTTGCAGCGGAATGCGGTGTCAGCCACGGCGCTCAGCATCCGCCGGTACCACACAAACTCGGCAGGAGACGGCCTCATGACCTCCAGCACGTGCAGCAGCACGACAGAGGCAGAAGGAGGCGCGCCGTCGTTGTTGGGCGATATTCTTCGCCGTCTCGACGATGTCGCGGTGGACACAGAGTCTTGTCCTGTGCCGCCTGCGGAAGTCACGATGGATTCTACGCCAGCAAGCCCGCACGGACGAGAAAAGAAGGCCGCCTACGTCCCACTGCTCTTTCGCTCCGACTTTATGCGCTCTGCGGCGCTACGCGGACATCATCATCCATCTGTTCCACTGCACACGGGGACTGCGCCGGTGGTGTCTGCGGTGCGCATCGCCCCCGCACGTCCTGAGCTCGCATCACCGGCAGCCTCGTTATCAGCAACAGCGACGCAGCAACCGCCTGTGCCGCTGTCGAGTGCCGCCTCCGCACCCTCTCCCCATTGGATGCCCACGACAGCGAGGGAGGCGCCATCCGAAGACGAATGTCCCGACGAGAAGGCCGCGCCGCAGCCTGAAAGGGTAGGAAGGCAACATCACACCACCGCAGCCACCATCACGAAGGCACGCAACGATGACGACGACTCTGCGGAAGCGCCGCGAACCTCAGCACACGATGCAGACACCGTATGTACGCGCGAAGGCGACGCCGCGGTAGCCACAGCAGCGACGGCGGTCACGTCCTCCGCGGAAATGGACGGACAGGACACTCACGATGAACGTCAAGCGGACGGCCTTGACGAGGACGACGTGGTTGTGGATGCAAACATGAACTGCTCTGGTGCGCCACAACCTGCTTCATCGGCAACCTCGCGTCACCGTCGCTCGCACAAGCTGATTCTGGACCCGGTTGAGTGGCTTGCCCAAGCCGCTGATGCCCCGCTGATGGACCTCGAAGCTCTCTACTCGAGCACCGCGGTGACGGACACAATGGCATACGCCAGCTCCGTAAGTTATGCCGATGAAGGAGCTGCTGCGGTTGCACATGAACACAACGAAGACGGCATTTCATTTAGCACAGGAGACGTCACACCACCAACGACAGACGGAACGATGACAGTTGATGCTCGACCACCACCTGAAACAGCGGTGGTTCATAGGTACCTGGCGCCGACACGAGAAGGGGAAGAACAAGAGGCGGAGCTGCTCGCAGACTTGCTACGCGACGTTCCGCCGCAGCGGCAAAAACAGAGGAGAAGGCAGCAACCCGGCCCGGCTCATAACCCTTCCTACACACAGGCAGAGTCCACCGAGTCGGCGAACACCACCGCCGCTCCTCTCCCCGCCTCATTGCAGGCGGCGACTGACAAACCGGCCTTGGAGTCGGATGCCCTCGTCTACAACGTCTTCACCCGGCGCATTGCCAAAGCGTCCTCGTCTACGATCCGCATGCTAGCTCTCATGGGTATCGGTGTCCAGCCGGAGACGCGAGAGCTGACGGTGACGGACCCCGAAGCGCTGCAGAGTCTTGCCAGCGAGCTGCGTGCGCACCGCGTGTCGTGGCCGAAGCTGTGGTCGCGGGGGCCTCTCTACCGCCAGCTAGAGAGCTTGTTGAGTGACGAGCACGTTGCGGACGCGGCGGAGCGGGTGGCGGGGCTGCTGCGCCTTCAGTACAACAAGTCGCATCTTCAGCGTCAGCGGCCTGGTCTCGTCGTGGGGGATGGCAGCCCGACAGGTGGGGGCATCTCCTCCCTCTCCTCTACCTCTGCAGACGCCGCACCGGCGATGGCAGAAAGCGTCGACGACAAACTTCTTACCGTGCAGGACCTGAACGAGGAGCAGCAGGCGGTGGTGGAACTGATTATGCAGGGGCACCACACCTACATCGGCGGCGGTGCCGGCACGGGCAAGTCCGTTCTGCTGAGGGTGATTAAGCAGCGACTTGTGCAAGAAGGCCTGGCCGTCGCCGTGACAGGGACAACCGGCATTGCAGGGACGCAGATTGGCGGGTGCACGTTGCACCACTGCCTCGGCATCAACGTGAGTGGCGAGTTCACGCGGCGCAAGGACCTGAGCAGCTACGACGTGATCATCATCGACGAAGTCTCCATGCTCTCTCTGGAACTCTTCGAGTCCTTGGAGGTGCACCTGCGCCGCGCCAACAACGTCCACCTGCCCTTCGGCGGCGTTCAGATGATCCTGTGCGGGGACTTCTTGCAGCTGGGCGCGATTGACTCCCGGCCCCTCATCACATCGCAGCTCTTTCGGCGCTACTTTGTGCATTTGAAACTGGAGACGGTGGTGCGGCAGAACAAGGACTTGCGCTTTGCGGCGCAGCTGCAGCAGCTCCGACGCGGGCGGGTGCCGGCCGATCTTAGCGAGACGGTGCGCTTCGTCTCTCCTCAGCAGATTCAGGCAGCGCAGCAGGCAGAGGTGGAGCTGAAGAGGCGTCAGCACGCGCAGCTGGCGAGGCTCGCACCGCAAGGGGAAAACGGCGGCGAAGGACGCACAACGAATGGCACGGACACCACGAGCGGTGATGGCGGGCAGGACGAGCGGCAGTCCGGAGACGGCATCAGCGGCGGGAATACGAACTGTGTCTCGGAGAGTACCACAGCGAATGGAGGCACCCGCGCTGCGGCGGCACCCATGGTACCCTTCGTGAACGGGGCGGTCAACCTGCTGCCGACGAACAGAGAAGTAAACCTGACCAACGCACAGCAGCTGCAGCAGCTCCCAGGCGAGCCTGTCACCTACGCCCCACAGTTCCTGCCGCCGTGCCTCGTCGGCTGCTGGTCCCCCACCTTCATCCTACGCGTGTGCGAGCCGGAGAAGCTGCACATGAAGACGCTGCGGCTAGAGATTCAGCGCTACCTCGGCAACTTCTACACGATGGGGCAGCGGGCGTCGCCGGCGTCGCAGCCGCCGGTCACCGCATCTGCTGTTGGCTTCAGTGATGGGGAGTGGCTGCTGAACCCGCACCTCGGCGAGCGAAGCGTCGTGCTGTATCCTCTCTTCGTCGACGCCTTGGTCTTTCGGGTGCGGCTGCCGCTCACGATGGACCGCGAGGAGGTCCGTCAGTTTCTCATGCACGTCGCCGAGCTCGACCGGCACCTCGCGACGCTTCAAGTCGGTGTGCGCATCCGCGACGTCCTTGCTCACGGCGAGGGCATGCACACGGAGCAGGACGAGTACATCCTCTCCCAGTACGCCGCTCGAGCTCCACTGGCGCATTCCTTAACTTTGAAGGTTGGTGCGCGGGTGATGCTGCGCACAAACTTCGCCCCCGGGCTCGTCAACGGCAGTCTCGGTACCGTCGTGGGCTTCCGCAAGTTGGTGCTGGAGGAGCTACCCCGCTACTTGGTGGGCAACGCGCAGCGGGAGGAGTCCATTGTGCAGTACAGCGATTTCCTCCAATACGAGCAGGGCTTTCAGGCACCGATTGTCCCGGTTGTCGACTTCAACGGCCGCCAGGTGCCCATACCGCCCATGACGCAGTACGTGGGTGGCATGCCTAACACACACCACTACAGCATGGGGATCGTTGCCCTCCCCCTCTCCCTCGCCTACGCCTTCACGGTGCACAAGGTGCAGGGCCTGACCTTGGTGGGCCGGGTGCACCTGGAGCTGTCCCGCATGTGGCCCTGCGAGCACCTGCTGTACGTGGCCATGAGCCGTGTGCGCAACCCGGAGCAGCTGTCCGTCTCTTCCTTCCACCAGCACCTCGTGCGCGCCGCGGCGGACTGTCTGCTCTTCGATGACAGTCTCCCACCGGTGTGGTCAGCCACGATAGCGCCGTACATGTTGGCCGCGACGTGGAAGCGCTCCCCGAGCCGGCGGAAGAAGGTGCTGCTCAAGAAACAGCTGGAGGCCTACGTGAAGCAGCGGCGGAGCAAGCTGATGGATGACGCGCGGAAGGGTGATATTCGAGCGGAGATACGACTACTCGAGGAGAAGATGCTGCAGCAGCGAGCGAGGGCTGCGGCCCGGGCGAAGGAGCGCACTTTGAAGAAGAATGGTTCGTGAGGCGCTAGCACGGTTGTGTGTGTGTGTGTGTGTGTGTGTGTGTGTGTGAGTAGGCATGCGTGTATCCGTCTTTCTCTGTTGTTGCTTCCCCCCCCCCCTCCCACTCAGGTCGGCCTTTCTTTTCTCTTTCTACTTGTTGGTGTAATCGCGTGTGAGAAGGGTGGAGGTTTGTGATGCAACTTCCTTCTTTCGCTCGTCGCTTTGTTTCGCGCTGTTTCTTCTACAACGATCTCTGCATGTGACTTCACCCGTGCTCTGTCGTTGTTGCGCTGCGTATATGGGCACGCTTTGGGAATCCTTAGCGATGTAGCGGGAAGAGCATATAAAAATAGTAATAAAGAAAGGAGTGTCTGCTCATCGCGTACGCGCAGAGAAGCGGCTGTCGATAGTGCCAACGTCATTTCTTTGATGCGCTGTTCGCCTGATTTCGTTTCTGTTGAATCAACATGCGTGGTCCTTGCAAGCTCACTGCTCGATGTACTGTCAAAGCGCGGAGCGTAATGGTATGTGCGTAGAGCAGCCATCAATTCCGGGTTTTTTCTGGTAGATTCCGTTAGCAAAGCAATGACTGCACATGAATATTCGCTGTTGCTGCTGCTTTCTGCCCCTCCTATTGGAATTAGCTACTGCATGTTGACTCCCTCGTTCCCTTCCTCTCTCTCTCCTCCTTTCCGATCTGCTTCTCTACAACTCTACGAATAAAAATACAAAATACTCGTACCCACACACGTGCATCAACGCAGGCCCAAAAGAGATAAGGACCCTTTTTTTTAACAGTACGCGCACCCAAGCAAAAAGACCCTTAGTGATCTTTTCCTCAGCTCTTTCCCTCCCACTGTGCCGTATCGTGCTGTCGTTGGTTTTCTCACGCATACACGTTAGATCGGTGGTTTCTATCGCGGCTCCGTGCTGCGTCTGTCTGACTTTCACTGCTACAATATACATATTTATTGTTAACATCAGCGAAAGAGAGAAAAAATAATAATAATAATTGAAAGGAAAGCCGTCAACTTTGGTTTTGTTAAACTGACAAAGCGGCTTTTCATTCAGTGATCTTCACTTTAAGAAACAGTAGCACTAGCGAGCAGTACGACGCACCAAGCAAAAGCGAAGCTGATCCGCCTTTTATTTTTTATTTTTTCCTTCAAACCTAGATTTGCACCCAGCAAGAGGAGGTTACAGAGAGCGAGAGAGTATTTCTGTCCCTTATATATATACCCACTACACTGTCTCTCTAGCTCCGTTTACTCCCTGCGGAGCGGCTCTGTGTCTCACCGTTGGTTGTCTATTTGCCTCGTTACAAAGCTACAATACGAATCGTTCATTTATTGTGACTTGTGTCTTCCGCGTGCATTAGAAGGTGATAAGGCCAATCTTAAATAATTTTTTAAGAAGTGGTGAGAAACGTATCGGTGGGAACACGCAATCCCCGTGTGCGAATCACCTGCGGTTTCTCAATAAAAAGAAAGAAAGTGAAAGAGTCGTCAATTCAACGTTTAGCCGCTGCACCTGTCTTTTCTACATTTATTTATTGTTGTTGTTGTTTTCCCGCACCATTCATAGAGGCAACCTTTTTTCTGTACTTCGTTCTTTCATATATATTACCTTGCCTGCGCCGCTCTCGTTCCTTCGGTCTTCCCCACTGCTTTGCTATCCGGAGAAGACAAGTAGAAAGGTCAACCCGCCACGTAAAAGAAGCTCCAGCGCGCGGCGCAACTATCCTGTTTTTAAACAGACTCCTTTGCTTTGCTTTTTCTTTCATCCCCTTGAAGATAACCATCATACCGGTTCAGCACATCTCTCTTTCTTTTTCTTTTTATGGAAGTTTACATCGCTTCTTCCCTTTAGCACACGCACCAACAAAAAAGTATATCCTATCATCATAGATTCACGCCTTTTCTCTTGTTCTTCTTGTTTATCCCTCTTATATAGTGTGTGTCTGTATTTACATTCACGGCTGTGTGTGTGTGTGTGTGTGTTAGCGACATCATTGTGAATTAGTTGAATGCGTGTTGTGTTGGCTTCTTACCTTTGCTCTCCCCCTTTCCCACGACAGGATTAACTCAACATGCTTCGTCGCTTCTCGGCCCCGGCCCAGCGCAGTGCTGCGCAGCTGAGCTGCACGGCCGTGTGCACCCTCTACGCCCGACTGCCTAGCTGCGGCACACGGTGGCAGTCCACCTCCAACACGGCGACGCCGAGCACCGGCAAGCGCCGAGGACGTCCTCCGGGAAGTAAGTCACGCAAGAACATGATGGCAGTAGCAGCAGCGGCCGCAGCCGAAGCTGTACCCTCCGCCTCCGTCTCCACAGCCAACGCGGCTCAGCAGGCGCAGGCGGACGCGGCTGTCGAGGCGGCCGTAGCAGCGGTGGCGCAGCAGGTCTTCATTCGCAGCCCGCAACAGCCGATCGCACCGGCAGTCAAGACCTCATCTTCAGCCGTGGAGCCGCCAGTGGCCGAGGCGGCGTCGACCACGCCGGATATGGGTGAAAGCACCGTAAACACTCTGGAGGATAGTGCGCCTACGACGGCAACGCGCAAGACGACAACGACGAGGACGGAGGCGGCCCTCGCACCGTCTTCGGCCCCTGCAGATGCCGCTGCCTCCTCTTCCGCCTTCACCACAGCCACTGCCCCTGCCGATGTCGAAGCCACTCCCCAGGCGGTGGTCGACCCCCTCAACGACAGCCTCGATCAGGAGTCCTTCTTCTCCTCTCTCCTCAGCTCGGATGCAAAGTCGTTCGGCAGCGCCGCACACCTGCCCGCCGAGCTGCGCGAGTCGACGCTGATCTACAACGCGTTGACGGGCCGCATGACGAGTGAGAACTCCCCGACGATGACGTCGCTCCGCCAGATTGGCTTCGGCGTCAATAGCGAGCGGCAAGTGTACGTGGAGCAGCCGGATGTGCTGAACGCGCTGGCGGCCCGCGTGCGTGCCGGCACAGCCCCGTTGCCGTCCAAGTGGCCTGTAACTCTCACCCGCTCGGTCGGCGTGGTGATTGAGAACACAAACATCAGCGACCCCGCGCAGGCCCTTCAGCAGATGATTCAGGTGAAGACGACGAGCATGATGCGCAGTCGCTACGCGTCGATTGTCTCCGCCGTCGGCAGCAACGTGGACGCCGACAACGCGGAGGCGGCGACGCGGCAGAGTTTGATGGAGAACGGCAACGACCCCGACAAGGCGATCGAGCTCAACGAGGAGCAGAAGCGGGTGATCGACATCGCCCTGCACGGGCACCACATGTACATCGGCGGCAGTGCGGGCACCGGCAAAACGGTGCTGCTGCGTGCCCTTGCCCGCCGTCTGCAGGGCCACCGCCTGCGTGTGGCCATGACGGCGACAACGGGGGTGGCGGGCTGCCACATCGGCGGGTCCACCTTCCACCACGCCCTCGGTGTCTCCTCGCGTGGTGAGTTTCTGCGTCGTGGCGTGATGCTCGACTACGACGTGATTATCATCGATGAGGTGTCGATGCTGCCGCAGAGCCTGTTTGAGGAGTTTGACCGCGTGCTGCGCGAGGAGGCCGGCGCGCCAGACCTTCCGTTTGGTGGGGTTCAGATCATCCTCTGCGGTGACTTCCTTCAGCTAGGCTGTATCAACGAGAGCTCCCTCATTGGCTCTGCGATGTTTCAAAAGAACTTTGTGAAGGTGCGCCTGGAGACGCAGGTGCGCCAGACAGCCAACTCGAAGTTCGCGAACGACCTGCAGCTGATGCGGCTGGGCATCGTGCCGAGCGATTTGAAGACGACGGTGCAGCAGCTACCCCCGGGTACCATGGTGGACTCCGCCGTGAACCTGCTGCCGACAAACAAGGAGGTGCACGCGGCGAATGAGAAGGAGCTGCAGCGGCTGCCAGGCGATGCCCTCACCCTCACCCCGGAGACGGGTATCACCTCCCTGCAGTGCGACACGACCGCCACGCTGCTCCTGCGCACCACGCCGGACTTCAACGAGGCGGAGTTCTCTCGCCACGTCCGCTCGCTCCTGCAGGCCACCCTCGACCTCCCCCGCGCCTCCCTCCTCTCCCTCTACCGTGTATATGAGGACGGCCACGCGATGCGGGTGATGCTGCCGCCGGGAGAGTCGCAGGCATGGCGCGAGGCGATGCGAGAGCGCTTTCTCGAGATGGCCGGCCTCCTGAACGACCTCAATTTAGGGGCGACGGTGACGGAGATCGTGCCGAAGGGGGATGGGCTCCACACGCCTGAGACGGAGGAGTACCTCCACAAGGTCATGTCGAAGCACCCCATTGCACAGCCGCTGGCCCTCAAGAAGGGCTGCCGCGTACTGCTGCGGGCGAACCTGTCCAGCAACCTCGTCAACGGTAGCATCGGCACGGTGGTGGACTTCATCGAGTGCAAGACGGAGTCCTTCCCCGAGTACATCAAGACGGAAATGGTCGAGCGCTGCATCGAGCGCTACCGCGTCTTTTGCTTTACGGAGTGCGGGATGCCGGTGCCGATGGTGCCCGTCGTGCAGTTCCACAGCGGCGAGACGCTGGCAATCCCGCCGTGGGAGTTCTCCGTCGGCGGGGGCCCCAACACGCACTTCTACAGCCTCTCCAGCGTCGCCCTCCCCCTCTCCCTCGCCTACGCCTTCACGGTGCACAAGGTGCAGGGCCTGACCTTGGTGGGCCGGGTGCACCTGGAGCTGTCCCGCATGTGGCCCTGCGAGCACCTGCTGTACGTGGCCATGAGCCGTGTGCGCAACCCGGACCAGCTGTCCATGTCGAGCTTCTCGGCGAGCATGGTTATTGCGAACGACTCCTGTGTGCTGTTTGACAAAGCCTTGCGGGGGGCGCTCCAGTGGACGGTGGCCGACGTCGCGAAGTTTCCCGTGTCAGCGTGGAAGCGGTGCAACGACACGATCTATCACCTGCGCCGCCGCGGGTCGTCGCTGCGCCGCCTGCTGGAGGGCGTCACCTCGATGAACGGCAACGCGTCGTCATTCATGCTGGGCGGGCACAGCAGCAACAACAGTCGAGGGCATCAGCAGCAGCTGCTGCAGTCTGGCATGCCGGGTCGCCGCGGACTCAGCAGCGAGAACGACACCGGGTCAGTACACGGAGGGATGACAAGCACCGCCGATGGTAGCCGTGTGGTAGTGCGGGTCGGCGAGCACGGTGCGACGGACGCACAGAACGAGACGAACGGTGTTTTCAGCCTCGAGCACATCGGCGCCATCCAGCAGTCGGTGCTCGTGGCACGGCGGATGCGTAAGCTTGTGAAGCACGTGGAGCGAGTGGCGAAGATCAACGACGCGCGCCGTCGCAGTAAGGCGGCTGAAAAGTCCAAGGCAGACGCAGCAGCAGCAGCGGCAGCGGCAGCCGTCGTCGCAACAGCAGCGAAAGACAGCAGCGCCGTTACACCGAATGAAGTGGAGAGCAAGAACGCCGTAGATGGGCTCACTGAGGCAGCGGAGGAGGATGACGAGTCCTTCGACATTGAGAGCGCCGCGAGCGTGTTGGCGGTCGCCAATCGCGCTACCCTGTCGGAAGCCACTCTGGTATTGGGGGAGGAGCACTCCTTTTAAAATAGATGCATCTCTCTTCTTGTTGTTGTTGTTGTTTGGGGGGGGGGACGGGTTCAAAGGAAGTGCGTTGTGTGTTGGTGTGTGGACGTGCGTTCCCTCCATCACCGCCGCGCTTTACGGCTCCTTCCCCTTGTACTCCTCCAACTCCGCCTTTCTTTTCCGCTTCTCCTTTAAAAAGTGTACATTTACTCTCTTTGGCTTACTTCTCTCTTGCTGATTATTTTTTTCTTTTTCCTCTGTTTTCCTTCGGACGGGCGTTGACCACGCAAAAGGAAGCAGGTGAGAAAAAGAAGTAGAATTGTAGCGGTGCTACGAAGGTCGGGATTTTTCTTTCTTTTTCAGCTCTTATCCTTGTGTTTATATCGACACTTCTTTCCTTCCTGCCGGCCCACGCACGTACTCCTTCGTTGGTGGCCCTTTGCAATACCTCCCCTGTTTGTTGATATTGTCTTCCTTCACGTTTCATTCTTTGACGTGGTGTACATCACAGTAGACATCTTTCATTTTCTTTTATATATATATATATATATATATATATATATGTAT